ATATATATATATATATATATATTTTGCAAAAACAAATTTCAACGGTTGAAATCAACTGTTGACAGTTTAGGTTTCCATCAGAGAGAGTGCATCCCCGATCATTACCTTTGTCCGACAAAGGGGCTGATCCTGTCACTATGATCACCATCTCAGATGAATTCTCGGATTGTCCCAACATACCAGGTTTTGACCCCCTCTAAGGATCTCACTGATTGACGTATCAAAGACAGCCCAATCCAACACCTAGTGCAGTATCATAATCGAATCTAGGGGACAGGTGTAACATTTCAATTTTGCCCATCTTTCTCCAAGGTCCAGGGCAATACTGGAATTTTGGTCCCGTTCAGGGTTTTAAGAAAACCTACACTGCATGTACCTCAGGTCTCACCCTGTCAGATGAGACAAGCCACCCCAACCAACTTGGTGGTATATCAGTATCAGCCTTGGTAGGATAAATCTCCCCAGATCTATCCAACGACTGTAAAGATTCTAAACTAACACGAGTCTCATATGTGTCCAGTTAAAGGGTATTACACAGAAACACACCATAATAACATGAATCAAATATGTACTTTATTCATTTACAATAAATGTTATAATGTACATCATGTTGATTGGAGCTAAGGGCATACACTGTCTAACAGAGGGAGGGCGTGGGAAAATGAACGTCGTTGCAACTCTTTGTAGTGGCGGTGGCGGAAAGGAAAGGGGGGAGAGAGAGGGCATGGAAAATTGAACGCCGTCGCGACACTTTGCAACAGTGGTGGAGACAATACAAGGGGAGAGAGAGAGAGGGAGAAGGAGAGGGAGAGGGAAATGCCGCTCCAAAGCAGCAACGATGGCGGGAAGACAAGGGGGAGAGAGAGAGGGAGAGGGAGAAGTTATGGGACATTGAACGCCGCTACAAAGAGTTGCAACAACAGTGGTGAGAATATATAGAGAGAGAAAGAGGGAAATGTTGCTGTTGAGAGTTGCAGGGGCGGTGGGAAGACAAGCGGAGAGAAAGGGAGAGGGTGAGAGAAATCGATGATGGGCATTTTTGTCTTTTAACGTGGTTTGTAAAACGTTTGAGTGCATTAAGTCATTGTCCTGTCTCTTACAAATTTAGATTTAAAAGTGCATTTCAGATATAAATTTTCAAACTCAACCCAAACATAGGTAGAATCTGAAAAGCAACATTTTCAGATTTCAAAGATCTAAAAAGTATTATCAAATGCCACCTTAGCTTCAACTGTATTTTCAGCAACTTATTTTACCAAACTCCAAACTTGAGGTTGCTCACTTTTGTTAGGGGGAGCATAAACATGCACCAACCTATCATGAGAAAATATAACTTGGAGGTTACAAATGTTTTTGGCCCATAAGATCCAAAATCCCTTAGAAAAACCCATAGAATGAACAAGTAAAAATTTATGAAAAAACAAAGATCTAACATTTTTTATTTTTTGCCTGCTCAAGTTCTAGGATTGTGAATTCGATTTAGTTTCAAAAGTTTCCATTAAAGGCAAGGTCTTCCTATCATCACATCAG